GATGGATCACCTGAGGTCAGGAGTTCCAGACCAGCCTGGCCACCATGGCGAAACCCCATCTCTATTAAAAATACAAAAATCAGCCGGGCATCATGGTGAGTACCTGTAATCTCAGCTACTCGGGAGACTGAAGCAGGAGAATTGTTTGAACCCTGGAGGGGGAGATTGCAGTGAGCAGTGAGCCATGATCGCACCACTGCACTCCAGCCTGGGCGACAGGGTGAGCCTCTGTCTCAAAAATAAATAAATAAGAATTTTAATAAATTAAAACATTTGAATTAAATTTTATGAAATGAGCATTTTGTTAATATTTTATCCAAAATAATGATTTGCATTCTTCTTACTAAATAATTCTCCGGAAAAAAGCCAATATAGTCTCTTGTGAGGACTTTGAAAACTAACCTGCGGTGGATATCATACTGGGCCTCTGGGTGCCGCTGTCCGCCGATCCGTGGCTGGAGTGAAACAAAGCAAATCCACTGACGCAGCGGTCCCCGCAGGCTTCTGCAAAACACATCAGGAGAGGACTCTGCCCGCTGTCTCCCTCGCAATCTGCTCCAGATATTTTGGTCAGGAACGTCAGAATGTCTAGTGACCCCGAGTGAGGCGCTGCCTTTTATTCCTGAGCACCTTTGGAAGCAGGAAGCAGGGAGCAACGGTAGCGAGAGGTATTTGGATTTGAGTACAGCAGGAAGAAGAAATAGAGGAAGAAATCCTCCATAAGGAAGGCGTGAGGAGCGCAGGAAGCGCTGTTTCCCTGCCTGAGGTGTTTATTCTACCTAGTCTTTATTCTACGTAGCAGATACGCTTTAAGATTATGGAAGAGAAGGCTAGGGGTTTAAAGGTTGGGAATCTCTCGGAAGAGCTGGGTCTTGGTGACAGGAAAAACAGGTAAGTGCTGAGAAGCCTGTCTTTACAGCCAGAGAATGAGCCAGAGACGAGCTTGAGAATGACAGGATAGATCTAGCAGTTATGCCCAAGGAAGACCCTCGGCCCTTTGAATTTGAAGGCACTGAAAATCATATAAATGTTTTTCATATAAACATATTCATCTTGGGTATAAATAACATAATGGCTTTTCGCACACATTTTGTTTTGGAAATTGTGGAAAATATCTTAATAGGAGGAATGTTTACTCTTAAGTCTGCAGTAGATTTTGAACACCAGCAGTAACTCTGTACAAATAGATCAGATGAGTTTTAATAGCTATCTTCCCTTTCCCCAGAAGAATGGAGACTACTAGAACAGTAAGTACCCTGAATTACTGCTATTGAAGAACCCCTGAGCCTGTGCGGTGGTGGGCTCCTGTGGTCTCACTACTTAGGAGGCTGAGGCAGGAGGATTGCTTGAGGCCAGTTCCAGGCTGCAGCGAGCTATGAGCACACGTGGGAATAGCCACTGCATTCCAGCCTGAGTAACATGGCCAGACCCCAATTCTAAAAAGGAAGGAAGGGAGGGAGGAAGGGAGGGAGGGAAGGAAGGAAGGGGAAGGAAAAGGAAAAGGGGAGAAAGGGGGAAGGGGGAAGAAGGGGGAGGGAGGAAGGGGAGGGGGAAGGGGAAATGGGGAGGGGGAAGCGGAAATGGGGAGGGGGGGGGGAGGGGAGGTGGGGGGGGGGGGGGGAGGGGGGAAAGAAAGAAAGCCTCAATCAGAGGAGCAGAGCTGCCATTACTTAGTGGTGGGTAGGTGGCAGAACAGCTCAGGGCAAGATACAGACCTTGGATGCCAATGCCAGTCATCAGATATTGAGCAATGTTGTAAGTAGAGTTAGGCTGCAGGAGAACCTGCCCTTCACCTCCTCCTCTTCATTCTTCAGGTGATCCCCATTGACCAAGACCATACCTTTAAGATAGAGCTCTGCAGCACAATCTACACAACTTTACAGGGCATGCAGAATATATTTCCTGTCCAATAATGACAGAAATACTTGATTTTGAAAAGTAGCAGTTACAGCATGGAATAGAAGACTAATGAAGTTTGAGGGCCCACTTCAGAGTCCTGGTTGAAATGGAGGTTGAGAAGTATAACGCAGTCAGTGCAGGTGACTTTCAGCTGGGTATCTAGTCCTATTAGAGGTAAGAACTGTGGTTGCCCTAACCAAAACAATAGGATTAAAAGACCTTAAATGAAAGGTGAAAATTATTATAAGAGAAATGATCATACTGGCAAACAATTCACCTCCAAGAATTATGATGTAATTCTTTGTCAGCTACTCACAGATGGAATTCTAAATCGGTAGCAGACCCTGAAGGACAATGTCACCATCAGAACCACCAACAAGGACAAACTGTCCCTCTCCTGTATCATCCTACATACCATCTGTATCCACAAAAATGCTTGTTTTTCAACAAGCCTCCTATTTCTTTTGGGTGACTGGGCATACTGCCCAGCACCTCCATCACATACTTTAGCACTTCCCACCCTGACTCAGGGTCCCACATGCCTCCTGTTTCTTATTGACCAGTGATCTGTCACTATGGGCACTGTCATTCTACATCAGTGAGTGCAGAATGCTATGGTGTTCATGCAGACTCTCTGAGCTGACTCTGCAGGCAGTGATCAGGCTTCAACTGGCTCAGTGTCATCCTGAACCTGCATGTGATGGCGGATGACCATTGAGAAAATGCAAGGACACTATGCTGGGAGCTACAGCCAAATGGGGCCCTCTTTGATGCTGCACCATTCACAATGCAACCCAGCTATCCCGTCACCAAAGTGGACACCAGCTGGGGCACAAAGGCCAGCTAATGTGGCTCTTCAAACTAGAGATGTGCATGAGCTAGATGTGTGCTGTGTCACTGTGGTTGACAGAAATGCAACCTGCCAAGGTTTGTTGGTCACCATGGTCAATGATGAGTCATCACGCTGCACCTGGTTGCTGCTCACAGTTTGCAGGAATTGCTGCCAGAATTCAGCAATCGCCCAGCACCCAACAGCAGGCAGCAGACAGCACCCAACAGCTGTAGTTTAACCTAGTGATGGCCTTTGCCTTATCTTCATGCTGTTTCTCCTAAGTGTGACTATGGCCATCTCCCTGAACCTGCAACGCCTCCTCTAGCCCCATTGCCTGGGGCTGCTTTCAGCCTGCTCTCTGATCCAAGCCTGAGTATGGAGCTGTCTCCAACTTAAAGGAAGGAGATTTGCCCTGTTCCTACAACGTATGTATGGCTTTAGATATTTTTAAAATCTTGATTTCTTTAAACTCAAGAAACAGCTTTCAACCAGATATTCTCGGCAGTGCCAGCAATGAAACTTTGTTTTATTTTGTTTTTTGTTTTTGTAGAAACAGGGTTTCGCTATGTTGACCAAGCTGGTCTCAAACTCCTGGCCTCAAATGATCTGCCCACCTTGGCCTCCCAAAGTGCTGAGATTGCAGGCATAAGCCACCGTGCCTGGCCAGTAATGAAGCTTTAAATGTTACCTTTGATTCAAATGTATTTGTGTGATATTTTAACATTTTTATTTTATACTTATCATACTTTTATAAATCACTCCTGCATGTTTTTGGTTGTTGAGAGTGGGGAGCTCTACAGGTTTACTTGCTAGTTTTTATGTATACTTTAATTTGCCTCATTAGTTCACAATTTCTTTGGGGAAAAGTTTTTGCCTATTAATGTGTTCTGAAAAGTTATGTTTTCTGTTAAAGAGTTTTTTCCTTGCAATATTGAAGGTGATTTATTGCATCTTTAAATTTCTACTCTTTGGCTCCATATACTTGTCTTTGAGAAACTGATAAACTGTAGATTTGTTTATATAAGAACTAAAATTCTCTTTCCAAAAACTATTCTTGAGATCTTTTGTTGTTTTTTTCTTTCCTCATTTTTAACTTTTCTCAGTCATGGTGTCCATGGGTTGGCTGACTCAATTTGTTCCTGAAAATATCAGATCCTGGAGTGCAGACAGCGTGCTTCTCTAACTTTGGGGTAAAGATAAGTAAGTCACTCTAAGCCTGAGACGTATTAATTAGTAAACCTTTGCTAATAGTGCAGTGAGTAAAAAAAGGAAGGCCACTGCCAGGCGCGGTGGCTCACACCTGTTCCCAGCACTTTGGGAGGCCAAGGCGGGTGGATTATGAGGTCAAGAGACTGAGACCATCCTGGCCAACATGGTGAAATCCTGCCTCTTTTAAAAATACAAAAATTAGCTGGGCGTGGTAGCACGTGCCTGTAGTTCCAGCTACTCAGTAGGCTGAGGCAGGAGAATCACTTGAACCAGGGAGTGTGGAGGTTGCAGTGAGCCGAGATCACGCCATTGCATTACAGTCTGGAAAACAGAGCAAGACTCCATCTCAAAAAAAAAAAAAAAAAAAAAAAGGAAGCCCACATTCTCATCTTACTGGTTAAAAAATACTGTGACTTAAGAAAACCAACTTCTCTTAGAGAAAATATTAAGCGTGATTGTAGGGGAATACATATTATAAGAGCCGGTCTAAAAATAAAGATGAGACTGTTTTTCTTTTCAGTTGTGAGGAATAATATCACAGACTTTGTCTCTGAAATCTGAAATTTAAATTATATATTCATGTGACTTTTCAATGAAATTCCAAGAGCTCAGTGTTTTGTTTTTTCAAAATATATTACCTTTGGGTGAATCTTAAGAATTTTTAAAAACCTACATAATACAAAGACAGTCCAAAAAAAGAGGAAAAGAAGGATAGGGTTAAACCATGCCCTTCAAAATCCCAAGGTTTCTGATAAATATTTAAATCATAATTGGAACGAAATGGATGGTACAATTTTTTAAAGTCTAGCTTATATTCTAAAAGATTCTTTTTTCCTCCAATACTTTTCCTCCTCCAGTCAAAGGGGAGCTGCCCTATGTGGCCTGGGAAGTTATCAAGTGGTCAAGCTTTACTACCGAAAAAGTGGAGAGATGATTTTGTCCTCATTGTGATGTTAGGTTTTCACTATCGTTTCCTGAATAGGAAACAAGGAAAGCAGCTAGCTTGGGAATACTGAGATTCTCCTGGAGTGCAGACAGCATGCTTCTCTAACTTTGTATATTGTAATTTTGTGACATTTAGGCACATTTAAGGAAGTGAACATATAGTTTCTCCTTTTCATACATATATTGTAGAATTATTTCCTTGACAATAGATGAAAACTTAAGAAAATACCAGGTTAATGAAAAAGTTTTAAGTATTTTCTAAGAATGCAGTAACTGGTTAGGACTCTGGGCGCCGCTGTTCACCAATCTGGGAGATACAGGCAGTACACACACGTCAGGGGGAGGGGGAAAAAAAAGCCCTCTTAGAACCTCCATCACCGTCAGATTGAAACAGACTGTCCAAGACTGTCTAAATCCTACTTCTGGATGACTCTCCACTCAGAATTCTCCTGAAAATTGGGTTAATTTCAGCTCAGAAAAACAGAAACGAAACCCTTGGTACTGGACTGGATGAAAACTACAAAGTTAGAGAGCAATGAAGATTCAGAAAAAGCTGACCAGCTGCAGCCGGCTGATGCTTTTGTATCTTTCTCTGGAGTCACTGTTGGAAGCTGGGGCTGGGAATATTCACTACTCAGTGCCAGAAGAGACAGACAAAGGTTCTGTCGTGGGCAATATCGCCAAGGACCTAGGGCTACAACCCCAGGAGCTGGCAGATCGCGGAGTCCGCATTGTTTCCAGAGGTAGGATGCCGCTTTTCGCTCTCAATCCGAGAAGTGGCAGCTTGATCACCGCGGGCAGGATAGACCGGGAGGAGCTCTGCGCTCAGAGTGTGCCGTGTCTCGTGAGTTTTAACATCCTTGTTGAGGATAAAATGAAGCTTTTCCCTGTTGAAGTGGAAATAATTGATATTAATGACAACACTCCCCAATTCCAATTAGAGGAACTGGAGTTTAAAATGAATGAAATAACTACTCCAGGTACAAGGATCCCATTGCCTTTTGGGCAAGACCTTGATGTGGGTATGAACTCACTCCAGAGCTACCAACTCAGCTCTAACCCTCATTTCTCCCTGGATGTGCCACAGGGGACCGATGGGCCCCAACATCCAGAGATGGTGCTGCAGAGTCCCCTAGACAGAGAAGAAGAAGCTGTCCACCACCTCATCCTCACAGCTTCTGACGGGGGTGATCCTGTCCGTTCAGGGACCCTCCGAATTTGCATTCAGGTGGTAGATGCAAATGACAATCCTCCAGCATTTACTCAGGCAGAATACCATATGAATGTCCCTGAAAACGTGCCAGTGGGCACTCAGCTGCTCATGGTAAATGCCACTGACCCTGATGAGGGAGCCAATGGAGAAGTAACATACTCCTTTCATAATGTAGATCACAGAATGGCTCAAATATTTCATTTAGATTCTTATGCAGGAAAAATATCAAATAAAGAACCGCTGGATTTTGAAGAGTACAAAATTTATTCAATGGAAGTTCAAGCCCAGGATGGTGCAGGGCTCATGGCTAGAGCTAAGGTACTGATCAAAGTTTTGGATGTAAATGATAATGCCCCAGAAGTGACCATCACCTCTGTCACCACTGCAGTTCCAGAAAACTTTCCTCCTGGGACCATAATTGCTCTTATAAGTGTGCTTGACCAGGACTCAGGAGACAATGGTTACACCACATGTTTCATTCCTGGAAATCTACCGTTTAAATTGGAAAAGTTAGTTGATAATTATTACCGTTTAGTGACTGAAAGAACACTGGACAGAGAACTTATCTCTGGGTACAACATCACAGTAACAGCAACAGACCAGGGAACTCCAGCTCTATCTACTGAAACTCACATTTCACTGCTAGTGACAGATATCAATGACAACTCTCCAGTCTTCCATCAAGACTCCTACTCTGCCTACATTACCGAAAACAACCCCAGAGGCGCCTCCGTCTTCTCTGTGAAGGCCCACGACTCAGACAGCAATGAGAATGCGCAAATCACTTACTCCCTAATAGAGGACACCATCCAGGGAGCACCCCTGTCGTCCTACGTGTCCATCAGCTCCGACACTGGGGTACTGTATGCGCTGCGATCCTTCGACTACGAGCAGTTCCGGGATTTGCAACTGAAAGTGATGGCGCAGGACAGCGGGGATCCGCCCCTCAGCAGTAACGTGTCGCTGAGCCTGTTCGTGCTGGACCAGAACGACAATGCGCCCGAGATCCTGTA